ACACTGGTGGTGATGTTCGGTGGGATGCCATTAACTCTTCTTCTTCAAGAGATTCTCCACTCGGTCTCAGCAATTTTCGGCTATTGAAGCGGATTGGTTATGGAGACATTGGAAGTGTCTATCTTGTTGAACTCCGAGGAACTAATACCTTCTTTGCCATGAAAGTCATGGATAAAGGTTCTCTTGCAAGTAGAAATAAGCTACTTCGAGCTCAAACTGAAAGAGAGATTCTTGGTCTTCTTGACCACCCATTCTTGCCTACTTTATACTCGTACTTTGAAACTGAAAAATTTTATTGCTTGTTGATGGAATTCTGTAGTGGAGGTAATCTTCATACTCTCCGTCAAAAACAGCCCAACAAGCATTTTACAGAGGAAGCTGCTCGGTCAGTGCCTACCCATGTTATGATCTTTATTTGTCCCTTTCTCTACTACATGTGGTTTTACTTATAATTTTCTCCATTGCAGCACTAGTAAATATAAAAGCTGACTAGTTTTAGGATGTGACTTTTTGCAAGATTCTGAATAATATAACACTATTATCGCCTCTGTCGCATTTTAAACTAGGGGAGTTTGAAATACGTTGACACTGTTTTTGCTCCCTTCTAAAGATTTGTATATCAAAGGATCACTGCCTCTTTGTGCTGCAAGAAATTCCTCACTTCTTGTCCATATAAGTAGTCGCTGTTTCTTTTCGTGCACTTGTGTGCATGGGGAAAGGGGAGGGGGAGTCAAGTTGGTTACTTGATCTAAATGTATGTTCTTGAAGTTTTTTTTAATTTAACCAACCTCATAAAATGCGTTCTTTCAAGATTTCTAGTTTATATAAACAAGTCCATCTACTTATTTTAGCTCCTTAGTTGCCTTTTCTTGCTGTCAACTCATCTCCTCAGTCTAAATGTATTTTCTCTCCTCCAATTAACCTAGGTTCCTCACAATTTGGACACAAAAATAGTAATTTGCTTTGTGCATCAAAACAGAATAGGCACGAATTCTTGGCGTATCATCTTGCATGTTGTACTTAATCCTTCCTGATTTAGTTTCCTATGCAGATGGGGACAGAAAAATAGCTCAGTAAATTTGATTTGTTTGTTATGCTTCGCAGATTTTATGCATCAGAGGTCTTGTTGGCGCTTGAATATCTTCATATGCTAGGAATTGTGTACAGGGATCTAAAGCCAGAAAATGTTCTAGTGAGAGAAGAGGGTCATATCATGCTATCTGACTTTGACCTATCACTTCGTTGCTCTGTCTGTCCGACACTTGTTAAGTCTTCATTGGTACATGCTGGAAATCCAAGTGATACTGCTGCTGGTATCTTAGACGATGAAAATGTTGTGCGTGGTTGTATCCAGCCATCCACTTTTTTCCCACGCCTTCTCCCTACCAAAAAGAATCGCAAATCTAAATCCGATTTTGGGCTCAATAATAATACAAACTCCCTTCCTGAACTAATGGCAGAGCCAACCAACGTGCGTTCCATGTCTTTTGTTGGGACCCACGAATATCTAGCCCCAGAGATCATTCGGGGAGAGGGTCATGGTAGTGCAGTGGATTGGTGGACATTCGGCATTTTCATATACGAACTCTTGCATGGAACAACACCATTCAAGGGTTCTGGAAATCGTGCTACTCTGTTAAATGTAGTTGGCCACCCATTAAGATTCCCGGAAACTCCTCAGGTGAGTTCTATGGCAAGAGATCTTATAAGAGGGCTCCTGGTGAAGGAACCACACAAGAGAATTGCATATAAGAGAGGAGCTACAGAAATAAAACAGCACCCATTTTTCGAGGGTGTGAACTGGGCATTAGTGAGAAGTGCCATGCCTCCATGCATACCTGAACCTGTAGACTTTTCGCAGTTTGCGAGCAAAAACTGTGCTAATTCAGACAAGAAGATGGCTGAGATTGGAAACGATAGGATCAAGAATAGCTCGACCGATAGTTCTTATGTTGATTTTGAGTACTTTTAGGATTCTCTCTCAATTGAATTAGGAATGATGCATTTCAGGACAGTAATTTGTACAAAGGGGAAAATTTGGCATTTTAAATTGTGAACTGAACACAAAATTGTGGTTCTTGCATATCCTTACTGATTCTTAAAGCAAGCCTCAAAGATTACAACAACATGTTTGCGGGCAATTTGCTTTTACTTCTCATATCGATTTCGCCATAACCATTTGTTTGTTGCTGCAATGCTTTTTAAATGTTCGAGTAGGCAACACGATCATTTTTAAGGGGCAGCAGGGGTGCCTCTGCGATATTTCATTCCGTTACAGAATCTCAAAGAGTGGTTTACGATGTTCAGTTATCGAGCTTCTGCTAAAAGTCAAAACTATCCGCAGACCGCGAGTAGTGTAATTCTTGATACATAAAATTAAAGGAGGAGGCACCGGCACGATTTAGATGCAGCCTCATTGTTGTTTACCTTATGTATAATATTTATGCCAAAACTATACACGAATAGTGTAATTCTTGATGTATAATTTGTGTATATTATCATACACGAATTTATGCTATTCTATATTACATCAAAAGTTTATTTAGTGAATTGACAAAAAGATAGGTGCAGAGACTCAATGGAAGTTGTTCTAACAAATGCAGTAATGAAGGAAGATCTATTCTCTTTTTTTTTTTTTTTCAAAAAAATCATTTT